TCTATTTAGATAAAGATTATGAATCATTGAATCAACATACAGTAGTGCAAAACTACAAATTGAACTAAGAATGCAGGAACGCATAATAAAGCAAGAAAACATACATACAATAAAACTATACCGCAGAGTAGAAGAAAAAAGCAGTAGAAAAAATAAAGGATCTTCATCTAACCTTGGTAATTGTTGAACCAAGATGACAGTGGGCCCCCACAAGTTTGAGCTCGTTAGGATGCTCCTTTACTGCATCTAAAAACCACTGCAGCTTCTCATTTCTAATGCCAAATTTAGAGTTCTTATTCCCAGTGGCAACATAAGGATGGACCTATGGATAACAATGATAAAAATTTATGTATTTTCAAATAATAATAAAATAATATTAACAAAGCAGATGAGAGCTATAAATCTGGAGGTCTCAAGTTTGGCCAATGGTGAGTTGAGCCTTACCATCAATCCCAACCAGTAAGGAAAAGTAATGGAGGACTTTATAATGTTAGTTTAAGGAAGATATCATAGAATTTGCTTGTGAACGTTGCTAATTGTTGAAATTATGGAAAGTTGTTTGCTATCAAATGCCCTGAGCAATGCATCAAACAGAACTTAGTCGCAGGTGTTAGTCATGAACAATTTTCAGTTTCTTCTAGACTTGAAAACTAATTTTAGCCCCATTAATCCTAGTAGCAAAAATATATTCTCTTAAACAGTTAAAACATTTTTTTTGCTCATTGGAAGCCTCTTGGAATCCGTCCACACCTCAGTTACTCATTAGTTACCCACATGTTGAAAGACAACAACACCATGTCTGCAAAACATAACGAATGCCTCTAGCCTCTAAGTATTACAAGAAGCACGAGTCAAACATCCCTACTCATGTAACAAACTTGTGCAACAACATACCTGTGGATCCACATCAGGATTAATCCGAAGTAAAACATTGACCCTCTTTCCAGCCCTTCTTGCAGCCTCTACAATGTTTTCCAAGTCAAATTCACTATCAATGTTGACAAATACACCTGCCTGAGCAGCCAAGGTCAAATCCTCCAAGATTTTCCCATTCCCATTAAAGATGCACCTATTCATCAACCCATAAAGAAACTAAGAACCAGATAAAATTCTTAACAACAACACACACATAAACACAAAGAGAACAACCAATGCAATAATGAGAAACAACGAGAAATGTGAGTGGAAAAGAACATAACACAATGATGGATTGAGAGTAAATGAACCTTGTGGGATCAAAACCAGCACGAAGAGCCAATTTAAGCTCATTCCCACTAACAAGCACAGCACCACAACCCAAGTGCCTCAAATGTTCCAAAATCTTCAAGTTATTGTTGGCCTTAATGGCATAACCAATTATAGAGTTCAACCCTTCCAATGCATCCTTATAGGCTTCAACATTCCTAGTTATTTGGGGCTTGCTGTACAAATAGAAAGGTCTTCTCTCAACAGATTCCATGATGTCATGCACCCTGAGCCCCTCACAGTACAGATACCCATCTTCGGATTTGGTGAAACAGTGCTGAAAATGAAGGTTCTTTGAGTCCTCCACCGCGGTTTTAGCAGCGTTCTGGGAGAGAACAGCTCTAAGAGCACGCGGTTTTAGGGTGGATTTGATTCTGAAGGGAAGAAGTAGTTTTTGGGAGAAATGGTTTTGGTTCAAAGAGTGGTTGAAGGTTTTGGGAAGGGAAGGAGAGTGAGAAAGAAGGTGTGAGCCTGCCATGGCAGTGTTTGGAGGAAGATTTTGCCGACAAGACAATGAGTTGCAAGAGAAAATCACAAGTCAAAACCCTCGTCTAAGATCTAACTTGTTTTTTTATTTTTTATTTTTAGCATGTGTTCTAAAGTTAAACTATAATAATCATTTGTGCTTAAGAGGGTTCTCTTATGTTGGTTTGGCCCATTGGAAAGCCCAAACTAGTGTTCAACTCATGCCCAAAAAATAAGCGGCCCAAATATTTACAGAGTACATGCATGAGCATCTTTATTTTGGTTTTTGTACGATAATAATTGAATAGGTCAATTTTTTGTCAGCCCATTGTCATGTTAACAAGGGAACAAGGGAAAGAAAAATGAAATTCAAGAAAGTTAAAGAAGTTAATTTATTTTGAATTAAAGAGGAAATTTTAACTTTACTCTTCTACTAATTGGATGAAGTAAATCAAGTAATCATGTTTAGAGATGAAAATACATATGGTACTATGTGTAATATGTTTAGGGTTTAAAAAACTCTAAACTCTAATATGTTCCTATACCAGCATTTAAAAAACTCGTATATGTGTGGATATTAAATTTTTTGATAACACCTTTATTTGTTGAGTATTTAAGTATCCGTATTCATTATCTGTATTTTAATTAATTATAAAAATTAATATAAAAGATAATGATTAAATATATAACTGCAATTTACAAAAATTATTATTTAAAGATTTTTTTTCATAATTATTATAGATATAATTATAAAACATTGGTATAATAAAATTTGGTAATGAGAAATTGACTAGTCCACTGCATCAGTGCACCTTCGACATGAAATTTTGTAAAGTTCACAAATCTAGTAATTAATGTCTCTTGCAATTATAAAAATGGTTAATTTTTTTATTTTATTTTATGCATAAGAATTGTACTCGATGTTAAAAAGTTTACCTTAACTCATATACATTATTCAACTAACTTAAGTAGATCTCTTCAGTAGAAATTTGAGATTTGAGTCCGATAGAGATAAAGTTTATTAAGGTTGCTATAAATCTTTCTTTTTTTTTTTTTATAAATTTGAGTGTGATACATGATCTTACTTTCCAGTTTTCGTTTTAGATAATAATCGTTGTTTGTTGATTGTAGAAGTAAATGAACCATTTTCTTTTAAACTCTTTATCAAGTAATTTACGTTAAAGTTGTTCTGACATTATTTTATGTATTGGCCTTTAACGAAGATTTAAAAAAATAAAATAAACCTCAATCATAGGTTCATCATGATTTTAAAAACTTTATATGCAATTTTAAAATCAAAAGTGCCAAGGCATATGGGCTAATTAATGTCATTAAACTTGGTCTTCACATTGGGGACAAATTTTGGGTACAAAAATTATGAAGAGCGCAATGGCCATGATTAAGACACCCTAAATAGCATAACATTTTTTTAATTGGAAATAAAGAAAATAAAAAGAGGCCATTGTCGGTTAAAAGAAAAGGACTGGCGAAAAGAAGAGATAATTGTCGTCATAATTTAGACTAATGCATTTGCACAAAGGTAAATTTCTGCATATGGTGAAACATGATAAATGATAATAAAATAACTTGGTACCGAAATTTCCTTATCCAACAGACACGGTTTAAGAAATTGTTGTCCAATCCATCGTTACAACGGAAATTTGGCAATTATACAATGCTTGAGAAAACAAAAGTTGAACCGTAATATACAAACCATGTTACCTAACATAACAATAAAATATTCCTTGAAAGGTGCTTTCACAAGGTAGTGGTCCTAGACGTAGATGTTTGCCAAAGCTAGCACTACATAATGCACAGTCAACTGTGTATATTATAGTCAATAGCCAATACTAGCTCTTTAATTTAAACAAGTTGACTGATACAAAGAAAGGAGCTTTTCCCACGACCCTATCCTCCTTCCTTTTTTACTCTTTGGTTAAAGATGAAGAGCTTTCCAAGTCCTCATGTACTACCATGTTACTTTTTCATCCATCTATTATTACTTTGTTTTCTTCCTTCATTTTCAAACATTTTGGATTTGAATGTTCAAAGGGGTGGAGAGATCTTATAGTGGAAATTTGTTCAATACATTATTTTGTCAACGCCTCCCCTATCTTTTATGTTTCTTAAAGTTTACTAATAAAACAATTTCTAAATCATTAGACACATAAATATTATTTTAATTTGGTCAATAATTTTGAATTTAAGTCATAAATACGTATATGTGATAAATATTTGGAGGAAAAGTGAAAGATATATATTGTCTATACCAAAAAAATAAAAAAAAAATAATAATAATAATAAAACTTTTTGAAGGAATCAAAGGTGTTACATCTGACCTTGATGTGAGCTGTTACCTTGAATTCCTGTTTGCAATGCCAAGTAAAATGTTGCAACTTTTAACATCATATCAAAGGGAACTACATACATCAGAACTCATGACTACAACTATACAAGGATTCAAAGCTTCGAGAGATATCTCGGAACTTATAGCCCCAAATGTAGAAAGCAGTTCTTTCAACCACTGGCAATTGTTAGATGAGACCGGGGACCAAAGATGGCCATCATATTGTCTTGAGATGCATGTGCCACATGACCCCTTTAACTTTTTTTCTTTGAAACCCTTGGCAGCATGGCACTGTCCCATTTGCTGAGGGATAAAGGCCTAAAGGGTCCTACAAACTTCACTCTCTTGACCTGAGGAATGTAACCCTTGCTTTCCATTGCACTTCCACCCAAGAATTGGCCCCGGGCATTTAGTACTGGTTGCTGGTCTAGTGTGTGAGTCTTTTGTTTGTTGTCTTTAGTTCTGTCACTCTCCTCGACCTCTTGAACTCAAAAATCTAGTTATTTGAAGACAGGCCAGCAACATTTCTGTCTCGTTTTTGGATCCATTATTAATTATTAGCACTAGCCAACATTTAAGTCGGACCATTCTTCTCTACACTACCCACATCATGTACTGTGTTCTTTGTTTATTTCTTAATTAATTGGTTCTATCATCTCTGGAAAATATTTTCAAAACTTCTGGAGTATGTAGTTTGATCTCCTTTCATTCATATTAGAACAAAATTTCTAATTAAGAATAATAACCGGCAAAGGAGTAAGTACCGTATATGAAACATTTGCTTGTGATAGTCTGAGAGCGTGTTTGAATTCACATCAATTTTGATTGGACATGAATCGGTAGAAGCAATAATTAATTATTTTTGTATAATTTTGATGTAATTTTTGTCTAAACATGAATCATAGATGTGAAACTAAACATGCAAAGTCACTTCTTCGAAGGCTAGTTCAACGTAAAAATTAATTGGCATTCAATAGTAATAAGTTCAGAAGCGGGTACTTACAACTTCAACAAAATCGAAGTTTCACAAGGTAATAACTAATAAAGTAGTCTCACATATTAAGGTCGATCCTGGTAATTTACACAAGAAATTAAAAGGATAAAAACAGAATAGATAGGTGAAAATAATTAACTTCTTCCAGTTTCAAAATTCTATATGGCCTCATCTTCCGTGCATGTGAAGAAACCCAACTACCTTGAAATGTCATAATCTTGAGGGTAAGCAAGCTGCTGTTCCATCTGCCAGCTCAACTTGGAAGCAACACTCTCATGACAAGGAACATAATCCTGTGAATTAAACACAAATTTTCACTTTCTTGCCTCATATTACAGAAGTGCATTGTATTGCACAAGAAGAGTTGATTACGTATACAATTGAGTTGATAAGGTTGATGACATAAATGTGCATATTTTTGGACATCCGGAAAAGTTTTATTTTGTGCATCAATAAATCTTTCAATTACCTAGTTACATATGCAGTACGAAATCAGAGAAGCTTTTGTTTTGATGTGACTTTTCTAATGGAATCAGAGAAAGTGGTTTCATATAAGACAGTTGCTTCAAATTGTGAGAATCAAAATGAAAAGGAGTTGTAAAGTGCCCACAAAACCTCATTAAACTTTTCAAAATGCCTATAAGACTGATCAAAAGGGTAAAAGTCGGCATCTGTTTATTTAAATAAAGTTTTATTAAGGACATATTTTACCTCCAATTTCTTCACCAACTCTTTTGCTGTTGGTGCTGATACAATTATGTGGCGAGCATTTGGACTGATAAATCCCTCTTCCACAGCTTTGTCAATAAATGACAGCAAAGAATTGAAGTATCCATCAACATTTACTAGTCCCACCTACAATTTTTGGAATGTCAAGGATGATTAGGCTGCAAGCACAAAACAACTCCCGGGACATGAATTGAAGAATACTAATATAATTTCTCATAATTACCGGTTTGTCATGAATCCCAAGTTGTGCCCATGTTATGACTTCAAGAAGCTCTTCTAGAGTCCCATATCCACCTGCATGCAACTTGCATGAGTTTTTACAAAAATTGAATGCACAAACATAGGAAAAACATAGGACGAGAATGAGAAAAGGTGAAAAACAGTCAAATTGAACAGTTTTACATATAATGGCTCACCCTGATAGTAGAAAAGGGAAATAGAAATATTTAATTGAATAATTTGAAAACTATATTTCACTTCTTTATTGTTTTTTGGTTAGACTATGGATTCCATGAATCGCATGTATAATATTAACTACCCCATGTTGGGTGCCTGTAGTATTTAGTACTACCAACCTCTTGCTCAAATGCAATCATGGATTTGGCAGTGTCAAGGGAGAGTTCATTAGAGATCAGATCATGTATTGACCCTTCTGTGGAATCCATCCACTTTCGTACGAGGGATCCCAAGATAGAGTGAATGACAACTTTGTCTTTGCGTGCATCCCCACTCTCTCTCTCTCTCTCTATCTATGTCACCAATTTTCAGCATTCAATTATTCACAGAAGATGATTACAACGACCAGTTAAAAAAAGTCTTTGAAAAGGGTCAAGCATTATTCCGTGTCAGGTGCAGGTGCTAGTTGGAAACGTTATCTCGTGAAAGTTCTCTTGCTTCACTTCACCTCTTTATCAAAGAAAGGAAGTTTGGTTGAATCACGTCACTGTTCAAACCAAAGTTGAGGGAGAAAATGGTATTCAACCTGAACCATAACCACAGTGGCTCAGAGTTCTAATTTTAGTCCGAGATATATATTAAGGTCTCATGTAAGGTCAACATCATTTTCAGCTAGCTTTACTCTAATCATAGCATTGGGATGTATGAAAGAAAGCCATGAAAGTTGTTTTTTGCAGAAGTGTCAAATAAATTGAATAAAAGAGGCACCTAAAATGGTTTGAGATTCTTTTTTAAAATGACTAAATTCCTGTCCTATCCTCCGTGGACAACTAATCAACATTATCCATTACGTGTCGTGCCTTCCAAATCATCACACAAGTCTTTAACGCCTTGTCAAGTAGCATCCATAATTAGGCATGGTAAAAAACACTTTAAAATTGTTTAGCAAAGAAAAACACCAAAGCCTGTGTCAGTTTAAAAAGTTTGGAAACTTTTGTAGACAACCATTTTGCTGAAAAAGCAACACAAGTAGTAGTAACACCGAGAAATCAACGGGAAACATGTCGGTTAACCAGTCTCGAAAGAATCAAACAGAGATATGGTCATTGCTGCACACTAAAACCAGAAAAATTAATTTTAAATTCACTTGCAACATATATTTTTATCAAATATCTTATTTACTGTATAATAAGTTTTATATATATATATATATATATATATATATATATATATATTTATCAAACATATTTTTTCATTTAAATCTTATTTTATAAAACATTGACAAGATGTAACAACACCACAAAGAATGAAGCACCTCATGACTACAAACTTGTACTTTTTTGGTAGTGTGTCTCTGATTCTAAGGCGCAAAGAAGTATTTGCAAGCTAACCTGGTAAGGCAATAAAAGCATCTGAATGCTTCGCCATCTCTGCCTTCCTTTGGTGCATATCAGCAACAGCTTTTACTTCTCCCACTGTTTCACCAGTTAGCTGCAAAAGGGTATCAAAGAAAGAGCACTTAGTAATGATGAAAGTTGCAGGAACCATAATCTGATTCATTTAACCTATTTCTATAACATATAAACAGGAGATACTGAAGCAGTAGTGGCAGATATTGCAGTGGAATATTCGTGTACAAGATAAAAGAAACAAAGTATTAATAACAAAACTGTAAAATAGTTAAGTTTTGAAATAGAAAACGTGCTTATGAAGTTTGGAAAAGTTGGAATAGAATACATGAATAGAAGAATCCTTGATGAAGATGAGAACAAATTATAAAATAAGAAACACAAGTAGGAATAGTTTATTGCAAGAGAAGAGAAAAGGGGTTAAGCTTTTTCTAATGGATGAAGCAGACATACATACCTCTCGAGGCATGAGCGTCTTGGGAATAACTCTGCAAGAGACAATAACATGACAAATTTAGCATCAATGGTGAAAGAGAGCAACAAAAGCACTGTGGTTACTCATTGACTATGAGTTCATGTTATTTCCTTTTACCCAACATCTTTGGGGGAAAAAAGAGAAAGGGGAATTAAAAAGTAGAAGTGTGAGAAAAAGAGTGTTATGTTACCCAATGACATGGCGACCACCATCATGAACAGCTTGTGAAACCAATCCCATTAGACCAATGCTTCCCCCTCCATACACCAGATCGATGTTCCTTGAGACCTTCCAATACACCATTCAAAATAATATTAATCAGCCTAGAAATAGTAACAATAGTGGTGGCTATCATTGTGTATGAGTACAAAAAAACATTAAGAGTAATGAATGACACTTTAGAAAACAATCCCATGAGAGAGCATTATTTACTGTTTGAAAATGTAAGACCGAGTAAAAGGGAAAATGATTCCTCGACTCTCACTCAGCAGAGGGCACTTGTGAAGTCCGTACACCTTTTTCAGCTCAGAGCGACTGAGCCAAAAGCTCAAGAAGTAAAAACAATGGCTTCAAGCTCTGAGAACCGAAAGGTAACATATATCTAAACACGCAAAGAGAAAAACTATGCAAAACTTTACAGTTTGAGAATGTTTGAGGTTGTTATTGTTAACCAAGACACAAGTCATTGTTTCGAGGTAAGCAGCATGAAACTTGATTTTGCCTAAGACCATGAACCCAAATGAAGTTCACATTCAGAATGGAAGCAAACTACTAAGACCCCATCAGAAATTTTTTTATTTTTTGGAGATTTTAAGGAAAAGAAAAGAAAAAGTAAAATGTGGATGAAAAAGGAAGAGATGAATAGCGTACCAATTCGTTGCCAAGTTGAATGGCAGCATCTTGATAACTAGTTTTCTTGCCGGGGCTACTACCACAGAAGACACAAATCCTCTTGAACTTTGAATGCATTATCTCACTTCGTGTGTCCATTTGTTAGTTGTAAGGTGGATAGTTAGTTATATTAACTTACACACACACACACAGATTTTGTAACGTGTTTGAGTCTGCCTCCAAATTCTTTTTTCTAACACTAACTTCCCCTGTTTAGAAATACAAGTGTGAGTGTAAAGGAAGCAGCAAACACAGCACAAACACAAAATTACAGTCCTACTACACAAGACTCTATGCTTGCTTCGCTACTACTCTTCAGAGTCTCATCATGCCTTTATATAAAAAAGAAACCACGTAGGTCTTCGCACGTGACCGCCTTAGAAGTTGGCACGCGCGGACTCTACTCTCGTGCTCCCATCCCATTTGTGCCCCTATGTATATATACGCAAATTAGTGTTGATGAAATACTACTAATAACTTCAACCAATATTGAGTTTAAAACTTTAAAATCATGTCTTCAACACAATTCCAAACAAAATTTATCACTTACATGTATATATATATATAGAGATAAAGAGAAAGAGAAATATATTTACTCAATAATAAGTCTACTTAAATTTATTTTGTTTAATAATACATGTTTTATATTAAATTTTAATGATTCGACTATTAAATTAGAGGTTCTTAATGCACAGAATAAGGTTATAAAATTTTTAAAAATTTAAAAAATATTTTATACTTCATTTTATTAATTCAAATCAACGTATAAAATATTTTTATGATTATTTGTTAATTTGAATTAATGTCAAATCAAAATATAAAATATTTTTGTAATTATTTATTAATTTGAGTTAATAAAATGAAGTATTAAATAATTTTAAATTTTTTAAAACATTTCAAACTTGGTTTATGCATTTAGTACTTTTAATTTAACGACTGAATCATTGAAATTTGATATAAAACATATTGGGTGAAGTAAGTTTATGTAAACTTATTTTAAGAGAGTTCAAACGTAACTTTTATTAATTATTATACCGCTCGATAACTTTCAGTTAAATGAGAATTTTTCAAATTTACCGTTAGATTAAAAGTTTTCTACACCTAAATTACATTTAAACTATTTCATATTAATCCAAAATTATTTAATACCTCATTTTGTTGAATAAAATTGGCGTAATATATACATTTCAAAATATACTAAAATATGAACACATTAATTATCTTTAAATTATTGTTCAATTTTGACAAAATCGGATATAAACATATAAGGTGATATAAATTTATAATTCAATGATTAGATAAAAAAAATTCACATTTAATTAAAAATTATTGAATAATGTAATAGTAGATAAAAGTTACATCAGTATCTTTTGATTACTTATTCCAAGAATAAGTTTATCTAGACTTATTTCAGTCAATAACTCATATTCTAAATTAAATTAAATTTTAACAATTCAATCGTTAAATAAGATTTTTTTAATACATACAATAAATTTGAAAGGATTAAAGATGATTCCTCCTTTTAAAAGGGATTAATATCTCTATGCAAGACAATTATGCATACTAAAAAGTTAATTATAAATAACGCAAATGATTAAAAAAACAAAATTTATTGCCATTCTTCTAACTTCAATGTTTTGTTTGATTTGATGGGGGAGAAAAATGGAAAAAGTTGGACAATGGTTTAAAATTTTACTAGTTATTTAAGGACAAATGGAAGGGAAGAAGGAAAATAACTTCTTTCACAAATTTGAATGAAATAAAAGGGATTTTATGTCTGTTTTAGTTTCTCAAAAAGTAAATATTTTTATAACAAAAATTTATTAATTTTATGTTTTGAAAAATGGAGTAAAAAGCTTTTGATGAGGTTAAATTTAATTTTTTTTACTTAATATAAAAAAAATTATTTTTTTTACTTTATCTTTCATTTACTTAGATTAATCGAGAAAAGTTTCTTCATTTTTTTTTTCTGTTTTTATCTATTCAAATAATGTTTTTTTTTTCTATTTTACTTTTTGGATCAGTTTGTATATAATAAAAAATAATGTTTCTAAAAAAAGTATTTTCTTAAAAAAGCTATTTTGTAAGAAATAAATAGGATTTTTTCTCAAAAAAAAATTAAGAAAAAGTTAAACAAACACAATAAAAAAAAAGTAAAAATCTACTTATTTTATTAATTTTTTAAGCAAAAAAATTAAACAAACAGGAACTTTATCTTCCTTTTTTTTTTCCTTTCTATTTTACTTCTAATCCAATTAGTATAGCACAAGAAATTGAGTATATATTTTCATTATGCTTATGCAGAAACAAAACGCTATATGGAATTATTCTTTTCTTCGAAATCAATGTCTACTCATTTTTACGAAACGCAACATGAATACTTACGTAATTAAAAAAAAAAATCATTCAAAATATGCTTTAGACGTTTAGCGACAGTCATTAACTAGCACTAGCATAATATTTTAGTGTTTAACTTACATAAATGGAATAATAGTGGATCGTTCGTTCTTCAGAAATGACATGTGTTCGATTTTTATGTCAGTTTCTATGAGGAGGACCATACTATGTGGTTCCAACTCTAATTCACCCAGGACACGACTCCATGTTGCCCTTATCTCTTTCTAAAATGTTTTTTCTTTTTCTCCTTTTCTTTCGATTCATGAGAATCATTGAATTCAACCACCTGGAAATTTGATCATGGGTGTGGTGTGAGCCTTTAGACCTGTGATGTGAACATTGAGAATCGAGGCTTATCCAACAAAATAAGGTCACGAGACGAGTCATAGTAGTGAAATCAATTATGACTATGATCAGCAACACTGCCATTTTGCTTCCCTTTACACTTGTTATGTTTCGTATTCGTTTAGTCCTTAGCCAAAAGTGTTCAAATCATTTATCCAAAAGAGGACTAATAACTTTTCAACTAACCAAAATAACAATCCTTGCTTAACTAATGAGAACACACAAACCCTCTTCCTAACCACCATATAAGACTTAAAAACAATTAATAATTCTTCTATGGAAAAGAAAAACATAGTGGGGAACTCATTGTCTTTGCTTTATCCCTACAACCACAACTACAAAGAAAACATACAAATCTTATTACCCTTTGTATCTTTGATTAGGTTCAACTCCTAAAATGGATAAAGGCTCACCGTCACAATTAAGCTGGGAGAAAAACAATTTATATGGAAAAAGAAAATGAGATTGTTTCAAAAGAAAATGTGAGGAATGAGGATGCCACAATAAATTAATGTCACGAATGGGCACCCCTGACAGATTTTCTCATTTGGTTTGTGTAGCAAATTAGTTTTTTTTTATACTGAGCAAAGTTATGGGTAATAGCAGAAGTTACTTCAGATTGTGCATTGATGATTGAGAAAAACAAAAACATAAGTGGGTAGTGCTAGTAGTGTCTAATATCACCTTGTGCCCTCATCCACCTTCCCTTACTCGACACTCTTGTTCTACGCATAGGAAACATTTTATTTTTTTTCACACGCTCCTTTCCATTCCCCATATCCTTTCTCCCTCAACTCCTCAAGCATATTGTCCCCAACCCCATTATTTGTCTCTCCCACTCATTCCATGCTTAATCTACTACTGCTTCTAATCAACTTAGTTTCAATCGAATCTAGTTTCTGTTATATATTTTGTACAATAGTTAATATATTTGTTAAATTCAGATTTAGTTTTTATTATATAAATATTTTAATTTATTTATTTTTGTTGACTTAGCTTTTAGACCAAATTTCATCTTATTTTATCTCATATTTTGATTTTATCATCTAAAATTAGTTTCTAGTTTATCCTCTTAACATGTTGAACTGATCTCAAAAGATTTTGAGAAATAATTTTTCTTTACTTATAAATATAATTATTTTTTGTCTCTCTACACATTTTTCTTATCATTCTTGGATTATTCTCATTTATAAAACTTATTGGTTTTGTTATTTTAAATATTCTTGAAAAGAACTTATTATATCTTGGGAGACTAAAATATTACGTAGATAAGTTCTTAAAAATATTGTTATCATACATCTTAAATTATTAACATTTATAATTATATAAGTCAGATTTCTATTTTTGATTGATCGTAAGATAAGTAATGATGTACAATAGTTTCTAGTTAGATTCTTAATATATAACAAACTATATTATTAGTATTGTAAGTATTATTATTAAATTATAATTAATATTTTCTTACATGTTAACATTTAGTAGTATCATTTATATGCATGTTATAATTATGATCGAATAACAAAAACTCTAATAATACTTATGGTAGTATCCGAGGTTTGTTGTTTTGGAATAAAGATGTGACATGTGTTGGCTCAGTTAACACAATTTCTCAACTGAAGGACTATTTGATTGATTGCTGACATTTTGTTTACATCTGATTAGCCAGATTATTAGAACTGAAACCGTGCCTTTAAGCAAATGGTTATTATATTAGTTTGGGTTTTCAATCCCCAAATAGCCTTTTTGGCTGTTATGGTTTAGCTTTATTGACACCACTGTTTGTCTACTTCATTGGCTTCCCCCATGTTTAGATATTATAAACTCATAATCACTCTCTTAATGGGGGATTGAGCTTGTGTATAAAATTTTATGTGAAACTCCTGCATGCTCGCACGCGCGTTTACACCATGTTTTTGCGTGTTAGTGAGTTTACTAGCTACTACTACTTGTCTTACTATCATCATATAGTGATGTGTTTAACTTGAAGACAAAAAGAAAATGAAAACTAATTGAGACTGCAACTGTCAACCTGGACTTAATTTCATTCTGGCAATATAAACTGCGGACAGGAATTCAACGAATATACCTTCAAATGGATTTTTTTTTCTGAAACCCTTCCATGTCTATGCAAGTTTTCAGGTTTTTGTGGGGGACTAAATGTTTACCAATTAGGGAAATAATTATTAGAGAGGTAAAAAATTGTGGCAAGAAAAGATAGAATATGTAATGATATAGTGTATCAGTGGGTATTCTGTTTTAATTAATCCCTTAAATTGTAAGGCAAAAAAAATATATATACTCTTTAACTGTGATAAAAAAATTATTTGTTTTTTCTATGTTAAATATTTTGAAGAGGAATTTATATTCTCACTATAATATTTCTATCCGACTTTAATAAAATTGTTTCGTAGTAGAGAGAATATATAAAAGAAAATTGTTAATAAAAAATAATTTGTCATTTGAATTTGTTAGTGTTTTTTAAACTTATTTCTTTTTTTTTTAACTTTATTTTCTATATATTTTAAATTGATTCTACCATTACATATAACTAATTTCTTTTTTTTTTTACTATTTAAGTAATTC